CTGGAGAAGCCAGGGCGCCTGGGTGGCTCAGTTGGTTAAGCGACTGCCTTCGGCTCAGGTCATGATCCTGGAGTCCCGGGATCGAGTCCCGCATCAGGCTCCCTGCTCAGCAGGGAGTCTGCTTCTCCCTCTGACCCTCCCCCCTCTCATGCTCTCTCTCTCTATCTCATTCTCTCTCTCTCTCAAATAAATAAATAAATAAATCTAAAAAAAAAATAAAAAATAAACTGGAGAAGCCAGTACCCAGTTGCATCCTTGTAGCCATTTCTGTCTGGGAATCAAAATGTCTCTATCTATTTGAACAGGAGGGCTAGAATAGAAAAATCACGCTGAGGACAATGGGTTTCCCCACAGGAGATTTTATGCCTAACCAAAATAGCACTCTTGTGGGAAGGTAGAAAATGTCAGCTGTGCACCTGTCCCAGGCTACCTAACAAAAACGAGGTGTGTCTGAGTGAGGCAGTTCAACCACACGGAAGAGAAGACATTGGTGTCCAGGACTCTACTGACATCTGGAATCCTGGGTAGGAAGCAATGGGTTCAACCCCAGGTATAGCAACCACCCCCCCGCCCCCCGCCAACTGACTGTGATGACATCCCTGACAATGATGGAAGGGGGCTTGAAACAAAGCCCTGGGCTAGGTGGGAGGCTTTTGTCTTCAAGTCCGGGAGATGGACTAGCTTTAGCTGATGGTCTGACATTTCTTCTGTATTCCCTGGAACTGCCTCCTGATCTTGGGGCTTGTTGCAGGATTTCAGTTTTGATGTGTCGGGTTCCTACATCCTCATTCTGGAGTGTCCTTCCAGGCAGTGAAAGAGTCAGCCTCCAGCTGCCCTCCTGGTGAATCCCCAGCTGCGGGAACAAGGCGCCCCCCAAAATTTATTTATTAAAGTTGGTGGGGTTTTTGTTTTGTTCGTTTTTTTTAGTGGACACACAATGTTATACCAGTCTCAGGCATACGGTGTAGTGATTCGACAACTCTATACATCATGCTATGTTCACAAATGTAGCCACCATCTGTCATCACCCAATGCCATTACGGTATCATGGACTGTATTCCATATGCTGTGCCTTTCATCCCCGTGACTTTTTCATTCCGGAACTGGAAGCCTGTACCTCCTACTCCCCTTCACCCATTTTGCCCATCCCCCACCCCCTTGCCCTCTGGCAGCCATCAGTTTGTCCTCCGCATTTAAAGGTCTGATTCTGCGATCACATGCCCTTTATGCTGGATATCATCACCACATTGCTGTCTGTGGAGATTGTCCTTAACACTTGTGGATTGCTTTTGTTAGTGTGCTTGGGGCGCCATACCAAAATGCCACAGACAGGGGTGGGGTAGCGGGGAGTTTAAACAACAAACTCATTTTCTCACAGTTCTGGAGTCTGGAAGTCCAAGATTGAGGTGTTGGCAAGGTTGGTTTCTCCTGAGGCCTCTCTCCTGGGCTCGCAGATGGCCACCTTCTCCCTGTGTCCTCACGTGGTTTTTCCCCCGGCACATGTGACACACCTCTGTGTCTCTCTGTGGGTCCTAATCTCTCTTCCAAGGACGCCAGTCAGATTGGATTAGGGCCCACGGGGGTGGGGGGGGGAGGGTTAGGACTTCGACGTAGGGGTGTGGGGGGAAGGACGCACTTGAGCTCATAACATGACATGCACGTGTATGCTCTGTGCTGAGAAGCTTGACCGTGGCGGGCTGATGGGGACAGAGCGGATTCTCATGCTAGTTTCCCTGGGGATTTACATTTTTAGAATAAAACTGGGTACTTTTTTTTTTTTTTTAAGATTTTATTTATTTATTTGACAGAGAGAGAGACAGCCAGAGAGGGAACACAAGCAGGGGGAGTGGGAGAGGGAGAAGCAGACTTCCCGCCCAGCAGGGAGCCCGATGCGGGGCTCGATCCCAGGACCCTGGGATCGTGACCTGAGCCGAAGGCAGACGCCTAACGACTGAGCCACCCAGGCGCCCCAAAACTGGGTACTTTTCAAGTGTTAGGAGCCTTTTGCATTTCTTCTCCTGTGACCTTTTCGTGTCATTTTGAAGGGCCCTCATACGTAAGGATGGTATTTGGGATCTGGACGGATAAGTCCGCCCTAATTGAGCCTTACACTGGTCCAGTAGCAAAGGCCCCTGGCCTCACCCAGCTGTCGCTGGCTTCCCCGAGATGTGAGTTCTGGGGGCCGCGCCAGGCCAAAGTCCTGCCACCCCGACCATTCGCGCTCCTCTTTTGTAGCCCCATGTCTGCCCTGTGGCCTGGAGACTGGGGCTCCTTCCCACAGCCCCGCTTTAGATCTCCTCATCTCGTCTTTCTTTTCTTCCTGCTTGTGTGCCCTCCTATTTCATGCCAGTGTGACCGAACCCAAGTTCATCCGTCCAACGCACAGCAGAGCCTATCACCGAGACACTGAGCGTGAAGGCTGCCGCACAAAGATACAGGGGGCAAGCCTCAAACCTTCCCTAGTGTTGGCAAGGATGTGGAGAAAAAGGAACCCGTGTGCACTGTCGGTGGGAATGCAAACTTGTGCAGCCGCTCTGCAAAACAGTATGGAGGTTCCTCAGGAAGTAAAAAATGGAAGCATATGGTCAAGTAATTCCATTACTGGGTATTTCCCCAAAGAATATGAAAACATTAATTCAAAAACATATATGCAGCCCTATGTTTATTGCAGCATTATTTACAACAGCCAAATTACAGAAGCAGCCCAAGCGTCTATCAGTAGATGAATGGATAAAGCATATATATATATATATATATATATATGCATATATGCATAATGGAATATTATTCAGCCATAAAAAGAGTGAAATCTTGCCATTTGCAATGACATGGTTGGAGCTAGAGAGTATTATGCTAAGTGAAATAAGTCAGTCAGAGAAAGACAAATACCATATGATTTCACTCATATATGGAATTTAAGAAACAAAACAAATGAAAAAGAAAAAAAAACCTAGACTGTTAACTCTAGAGAACAAACTGGTGGTCACCAGAGGGGAGGTGGGTAGGGGGATGGGTGAAGCAGGTGCTGGGGATGAAGAGTATGCTTACCATGATGAGCACAAGTAAAGGACAGAATCACTATATTGTACATCTGAGACTAATATAATACTATATGTTAACTACACTGGAATTAAAATTAAAAAATAATCTATCTGAAGGAGATTTTAAAAAACTGTAAGAGGGGCGCCTGGGTGGCTCAGTTGGTTAAGCATCCAACTCTTGATTTCGGCTTAGCTCGTGCTCTCGGGGTGGTGAGATCTGAGCCCCCAGTCTGGCTCCACGCTCAGTGGGGAGTCTGCTTGAGATTCTCTTCCCCTGCCCTTCTCCCAGCTCGTGCATGAGCGCTCTCTCTCAAATAAATAAATAAATCTAAAATAAGATAAAATGAAATAAAATAAAATAAAACAAAACACACACACACATCCCCGCCTACCTGAAGGGGTAGGGTCAGGGATTTTTAAAGGCCAGCAAGGGATGCCTGCGTGGCTCAGTCGGTTAAGCATCTGCCTTTGGCTCAGGTCATGGTCCCAGGGTCCTGGGATTAAATGCCCCATTGGGCTCCTTGCTCAATGGGGAGTCTGCTTCTCCCTCTGCCTGCAGCATCCCCTGCTTGTGCGCATGCTCTCTCTCTCCCTCTCACAAATAAATAAATAAAATCTAAAAAATAAAATAAAATAAAGGCCAGCGAAAGAGGGTCTGGGTAAAGGGGAGAAGAGTCATGTGACACAGGATCAGCCCCAGGAAGTTGCTGAGTACGGGAGGGTCGATTTCATTTTGTTGTGCTCAAAGAGGAAGTCAGTGGTCCTGGGTTCTGCTGGCTTCTTTACGAAACCTTGAGCTCCTGCAAAACAACTAAATTAAATTTTGGTTATCATGTGTCAAGCATGAATATTATCTTACAGAAACAAGGTGACAGAGAATAAGCAGATTTAGGGGAAAGAGTTGAGCTGCACTACCTGTCCTGTTAACTCTTTGATGACCGGCTTCACTAGCATCCTTCTGGGGTCTAGGGAGGAAAGAACATGGCGTCTTTAATCATCACAAAGCCTACACCCTGCTGTGTTTTTTTTAAGATTTTATTTATTTATTTGACACAGAGAGAGAGAGAGAGAGAGTAAGAGTCAGGCAGAAGCACGAGCAGGGGGAGAAGCAGGCAGAGGGAGAGGGAGAAGCAGACTCCCTGCTGAGCAGGGAGCCCCATGTAAGGCTTTCATCCCAGGACCCTTAGACCATGACCTGAGCCGAAGGCGGGCACTTAACCCACTGAACCACCCAGGAGACCCTACACCCTGTTTTATAATCAAGAGCTTCTCATCACCAACCAAGTGCCTGAACACAAAACTTAGGAAATTGAACTAATGTAATAGAAACAGCACAGGTCAAAACACACAACACTCTCAAGTTTCTCAAAGTTCCATTTGCCAACATTTGTCTTTTGTTGAGTAATTTGTTTTCTTGGGAGAGGGCCAAGGTCCCCAGTCTCTCAGGACGCTCTGCAGGAGGCCATGTGGCCTATGCGGCTGCAGTTCTTGGATGTGACGGTAGATGTCACTGCCAACCAATAAATGGGGTCCTTAACCTTGGCCTCTGAGCCCGTCTCTCCCTGGGCCTTGGCGCCCCTGCTCTACTCATCCTTGCGTCATTGCCAGCTTGAGCCCTGAGCATCTCCCACGTCGCATCTGTCCTGCCCTGGGGGGTCCCTGGTGGTTGTCTTCCCTCTTAGATCCTGTTCCGGTGACCTCCCTTCCAGAGATTCCTCATACTTGCTTGCTTTCCTGGGCCTTTTCCATCTTCCCCCAGAGGGTTGGGGGTGGAGGCAGCCTGTGCCCTCTAGATCCGCACCAGCTACTTTTTTTGTTCACAATCGGTTGTTTTACTTTCCAAAGATACTGCAATAAAATATAAGAAGTAAACGAACAGTGAACAGTCCCTCTGAGTTCAGCGTAGGTGACAGCTATGTCCTGGAGGGTGGCCACCACCGAACTAGCCACGCTGGGCACCATCGAAGGAGGGGGGCAGCAGGATCCTCAGGTCGCCTGCCAGGAGGAGAGACAGAAGAGACTCCTGGAAGTGACCCTGAATCCCGAACTGGTCTTGGCAGAAGGAAGGGCCTGAGCTAATGCTGGAAGCAGGAAGGTTGAGCGTGTCCGGGACTCTCCAGCAGCTGGACATAGCGAAGGGCATGCTGACAGGCCAAGGTCTTCGTGGCAAGAGGAACACGGGCTCTCGAGTCATGCTGAGGGCGGGCCATTTGTTACTAGGAACTATTGTTGCTCAGGTATGTGACCGGCCAGGGGCATGGACTGACTGCTGGAGTGGGGTGGGGAGAGCTGGGTGGAGGACAGCATGAAGGGGACTCTATCAATGGCAGAGACTTCTTCTGCCAGAGGCCTGCAGGCTTCTGAGGGACGTGGGAATGGCTGGGTACCAGGGTCCTCAAGGTCACTGCCCCCACCCTGCCTGTCAATACCAGATGGTGGCCCACTGGGGCCATCCTGCCTGTAGGCCCATGACCGCATGAATGGGTGCCCGAGCTGACATGGTGATGGTGCCCGGGGTGCCTCGCACACGCCTGTGTGGACCCCAGCAAGATGGGTGATAAGGGAGTATGACAGGTGTGGGCAGGGCCAAGGTGCTGGAGAGTGGGGGCTGCAGACTGAGCCCACCCTCCACCCACCCGGCAGATGCTGGTTCTGCTCACCTCTATGCAGGTACCCAGGAAGAAGCTGGGCAGGAACATGGACAGACAAGCTCCTGAAGGCAGGGCTTTGACCTCCAGTCTCCAAGCGATGCTAGAGGACCTTATGGTGCTGAAGGAGCTACTGGTGCAGGCCTGGGCTCAGTAGGGCAGGCTCCCTCCACTGACCCTGCCTGGTGGGGGGGTGCCAGGCATGCCATCTGTCTGACAGACGGAGAACCACCCTCCCCCCACCTTTTGCCTGCCCCTGGAAAGGGGTGGTGGGATCCCTCCCTGGCTTCCCTCAGGTCCCGTGGCTGCCTTGGGTCTCAGGTGGAGTCAATGGCCTGGCTCTCCTTGCCTCCTGTGCTGGTGTCCCTGGAATCAAAGCCTCAGCACTGGCCTGTCCATGATCCCTATGGCTGTGGATCTTGGCTGTGTTGTGCTGGGAAGGGTGGCCATGGCAGGTGGCTTGGCAGGAGTGAATGGGGGCTTTCCTAGGGGCCCACAGCCCCATCCCGAAGGTCCTGGTGCAAGCTGTCAATCCCTCCGGGGAACCCAACCAGGGTTACATCACAGGTCCTGCTTGGAGAGCTGGGAAACGTAAGACTCCTCTCTGGTCCCCTATCATTTTACTTCTCCCTCCACTGCTTTTTGTCTGCCTCTGAGTCGCGCTTTCTGTTGGATGAATGAATGGAGGAGTAAATGAACAAACGGAAGTGCTCCTCGCTGCCCTGCTCCCTCGCTCTGTCTCCCCATGTTGCTTCCAGGTTACTCTCTCCCTGTCGTCCCCCCCCACCCTCTCTCTCTCTCTCTCACTCCTCTCCGATACCGCATGGCTGGGACCCCTGTCCAATAGGGTGGAGCCAGCTGGGGTTCTCTGTGCACTGTCGGCTTACAGGTCCCGGCCACTGGACTCAGGGCTCCCTGACAGCTCCGGGCATGCCGGGTCTGAGCCCAGCCTCCCCTCTACAGCATGGCCGGGCCTGCCTGGCTTCGCTCCCTTCTGCCTGGGCTCCAGGATGGCTGGCTCTGGACAGCTTGGCTCCTGGGGGCTGCCCGGCCCTGGCCCTCCCTCTCCACTGGGGAAGAGTCTCCAGCCAGCTGTGTTCCTTCTGCAGCCAGTGGCTTCCAGAGCCTCTCCCTGGGAAGGACCGTGGGCCTCAGCGGGGGTCAGCTTTGTGTCTGTTCCCAGCCCCTCTTTCCCAGAAAGTCCTGCCACAGCCCTAGGACCCTGCCTGATCCGATCAGAGTGGCCAAGGGGTACAGGGTCTTCACTGGCTGGTCTGAGCCATGAACTGTCCTTGAAACCAAGGGTGGGGACAGCCCTGCCCAAGTTACATGTCCTACAATTATGTGTGTTTGTGGAGGGTGGAATTTGTGCCTAAAAATCCTGCCTGGCTGACTTCGGTTCCTGTGAAAACAGTGGCGAAGGCATTACAGTTGCCTTGCATGGGCCAAGACAGTCAGAGAGTGGCTCCGACCTCCTCAGGTCCCAGAATGGGGAGGGGGCAGCTTCCTGGGAGGCCATCTCTCAGTTCCCAGGGGACTTCTGTGGCTGTGCCCTGTGCCATGCCCCACCCCACCAGCATGGGCCAGTGTGGAGGCTAGGCCCCAGCTCCCAACCCACTCACGGCTGTTCTCTGGGTCCAGGGAGGCGCTGCCCCGAGCCCAGCCCTCATCATCTCAAGACTTGGGTTCTGACAGAAAAGAAGTGCATGGGACAGTCCAGGAGGAAGGCCAAGAGGCAAATGGACAAGGCTGGGGAGTGTGGCTACACTGGCTGAGGGGGCACCGCAGGGCTGAGGGCACTTGGGCTGTGGTAGGGTGTTGCGCAGGGGAGCATGGGATCGGATTTGGACTTGAGGAATCCCCCATGGTGCTGTGTGGACCGGGACAGAGGGCCTCTGGTGGAGGCGGAGGGGCTGGTCAGGAAGCTGGTGAGGTTGGAGGGATCAGGTCTGGGTAAGGAGGAGGGAAGACTCCAGGGGGCTGGCCTGAGCCCCAGGGCGTGGGGGTGCTGCACCTGAGGTGGGGGGCACCAGAGGAGGACAGTCAGGAGAGAGATGCCTTGAGGTGCCTGGGTGGGACAGTCGGTTAAACACCCGACTCTTGGTTTTGGCTCAGGTCCTGATCTCATGGGGGGTGGGACAGAGCCCTGAGTTGGGCCTCCGCGCTCAGCGGGAGTCTGCTTGGATACTCTCTCCCTCTGCCCCTTCCCCTGCTTGTGTGCTCACATGCTCCCTTGCTCGCTCTCTCTCTCAAACAAACAAACAAACAAACAGAGAGGGAGAGAGAGATGTCTTTACCAAGTCAGGACGTCAGGACAGTTACTCAGACCAGAGAGAGGAGAGACCCGGGCTGGGAGGGTGGGGCTGGGGTCATATGATTGTGAGTGTGTGTGTGTGTGTGTGAGAGACAGACTCTGTGTGTGACTGTGTGTGAGTCTGTGTGTTTGTGAGGGCGTGACTGTGTGCGAGTGTGTGACTCTGTGTGTGTGTGTGTGAGAGAGAGAGACTCTGTGTGTGACTGTGTGACTGTGTGACTGTGTGTGTGTGACTCTGTGTGTTTGTGAGGGCATGACTGTGCGAGTGTGTGACTCTGTGTGTGTGTGTGTGAGAGAGAGAGAGACTCTGTGTGTGACTGTGTGACTGTGTGTGTGTGTGACTCTGTGTGTTTGTGAGGGCGTGACTGTGTATGAGTGTGTGACTCTGTGTGTGTGTGTGTGAGAGAGAGAGACAGACTCTGTGTGTGACTGTGTGACTGTGTGACTGTATGTGTGTGTGACTGTGTGTGAGTCTGTGTGTTTGTGAGGGTGTGACTGTGAGTGTGTGACTCTGTGTGTGTGTGTGTGAGAGAGACAGACTCTGTGTGTGACTGTGTGACTGTGTGTGTGTGTGACTCTGTGTGTTTGTGAGGGCATGACTGTGTGCAAGTGTGTGACTCTGTGTGTGTGTGTGAGAGAGAGAGACAGACTCTGTGTGAGTGTGTGACTGTGTGACTGTGTGTGTGTGTGACTGTGTGTGAGTCTGTGTGTTTGTGAGGGCGTGACTGTGTGTGAGTGTGTGACTCTGTGTGTGTGTGTGTGAGAGAGAGAGAGAGACAGACTCTGTGTGACTGTGTGACTGTGCGTGTGTGACTTTGTGTGTTTGTGAGGGCGTGACTGTGTGAGTGTGTGACTCTGTGTGTGTGTGTGAGACAGACTCTGTGTGTGACTGTGTGTGTGTGAGACTATGTGTGAGTCTGTGTGTTTGTGAGGGCGTGACTGTGTGCGAGTGTGTGACTCTGTGTGTGTGGGGGGGGGCACAGGCATGGGCTGGGAGGAAAGACACAAAAAGGCCTTCAAGACCAATAGTGCGTGTCTGCCAGGGAGCCTCCCACTTCAGCCTGGATTGTGAAAGCCGCCCTGGCTGCCAGGAAGCAGAGATAAGGGGGTGGCCCAGCCGGAGGGAAGACGCAGGCTGGGGGTGGAGGGCAGTGTTTTGTAACACCCCAGAAGGAGGAGAAGGGTCAGGCTGGGGGACTCTGCTCTGGCAAACCAGTGACAGATCTCCAACAACCCACCGTGCCTCATCCCACGGAGGCCAGGAGGTGTGGAGGCTGGGTGCGGCGCCCAGCTCCTAGCTCAGAGGAGACAGGTTTCAGGGAAGGGGAACGAATTTCTTCGGGCCCCATTTTGGAGGGGCCGAACCAGCCCCGGGAGGCAGCCCTGAGAAGAGGGTAGGTGAGGGTAGTGGGAGGTGCAGCCATGCCGCTGGAGCTGTTTCTGGACCTGTACTCACCCCCGTGCCGTGCCATCTACATTTTTGCCCGGAAGAATGGCATTCCCTTCGAGCTGCGGCCTGTGGACCTAGGACGGGGTGAGCCTTAACTAGGCTGGGCTCCATGGAGGGGGGTGTCTGTCCAGGGGCCAGAACTTGTTGAGCCACTCATCCCCTCCACCCCTCAGGGGAGCACCTGAAGCCTGAATTCCTGAAGGTGAACCCCCTGAGGAAGCTACCTGCCCTCAAAGACGGGGACTTCCTGCTGGCGGAGAGGTAATGGGGTCCTGGGGTCTGCAGAGGCTTCTGGGTTGGGGGAGGTGGAGGGAGGAAGGCAGAAAGCTGATGACCCCTCACGGGGAGGTTTTTCCAAACTGGTGTGACCCCCCCCCCCCCGCTCCCTCCTTCCAGCTCACCCAGCTTGGAGGTGGCGGGGGCTGGACTAGGGGGCAGCTTTGGGGCTAAAGCTGGTAGCTTCAGCCTGGGAAAGGGGCATAGGTCACTCAGGCAGTCCTGGACAACCTGGAGCCAGCTGGGGAAGATCCAAGCTTGAGGTCAGCTCTCCCCAGAGGTCCCAAACCCAGGCCTTTCAGTCACAGGAGCCGGGGGCCAGGAAGCCCCAGATCTGCACTGGGCTCTGAATCCCAGTTCCTCTCACCCTCGCTCTCTGCCATGGACAGGTCACAGAACTTCATGCCCCATGTTTCTCCTCTGTAAAATGGGGGAGTAACGTAACCCCCTCCCAGGACTTGCCTGAGAATAGAAACTGGTCACCAAGTACCAGGAGCCCGGGGGGGATCGAAAAGCGTTCTGGGGAGCGCTGGCCTGGGAGGGAACTGGGAGACCCCTCGCGCAGGTCCGCCTTCCTCCTGCTCAGTAGGACTCTGATGCCAGAGAGCGGGGCCTGGAGACAGAGGGCTGGCTGGGGTAGGAGAAGGGAGGGGAGGTGGAAATATGGGCCCATGGGGGAGCACTTGAGGAATGGAGCAGTTTGGTGGGGAAAAGATGACCATTGGTGGGGATGTGGGAATGGGGGGGTCCTCCCTTGGAGGTGCCGTTGGAGAGAGATCCGGTCAAATCACCCTGTTTGCGAGAGATGAGGCTGCCTAGCGTTGAGGGCTGGGGAAATCTCCGACGCCTCCTATTTGCAGCGTGGCCATCCTTTTATACTTGAGTCACAAGTACCAGGCAGCGACCCACTGGTACCCAACCGAGCTGCAGGCCCGCGCGCGTGTGGACGAGTACCTGGCGTGGCAGCACACGGCCGTCCAGCTGCCTGCTAGCAATGTCTACCTGTGTAAGGTGAGACTCCCTGCCCTAGTGTGAAGGTTTGGGCAAGAGCCGGAGCCCCCTGTGCTGGAAAGAACCCACTGGCCTATATACAGCCTCCCGTCCACTGTCCCTGGTAGACATCCGTAATCTATCACAGCACTCTTTCCGCCCCCCGGAGTCTGAATGACAGCTTCAGAAGCCTTCTGAATACAGTGCCCCAGGGGGTATCACTGACGGATGGTGGGGATGGTGGCCAGGAGGGGTGGCAAGGTGGTTGAGATTGTTTGGAGGAGCCTGGGATAAGCTGCCTCGATTCTCCCCTGCCCAGTCCCTCCTGCCCCATTTCTCGGGGCAGCCTGTGGACCCCGTGCAGCTAGACCGGCTGTTGGGGAAGCTGAAACCAGCTCTGCAGCACCTGGATGGGGAGGTCCTGGCCGCCAAGCCTTTCCTGGCCACCGAGCAGCTCTCCCTGGCAGATCTGATGGCATTCACGGAGCTGATGCAGGTGAGCTTCTCTTGTCTGCTTGCCCCTGGGGGGACCCCGGGCCCAGGGCTGAGTCCCCTGCTCCAGCTGCCCTGTCTCCCCAGCCCACTGCTGTTGGCTGCGACATCTTTCAAGACTGGCCCCGGCTGGCAGCGTGGCGAGCCCGAGTAGAGGCTGCTCTGGGCCCTGAGCTCGTCCAGGATGCCCACAGGCTTGTGCTACAGCCTCGGGACCCCCAAGATGCCCAGCGGGACCCCAAGCTGGCCCAGGAGCTGGTGCAGAGACTGCTGGAGCGGCTCAGCTGAGAGGGGTATGGCCGGGCCCGCTCCCCTGCACTCTCCTGCCACAATAAACGTGCTGTGTGCCCTCCACTCGTCTCCAGCCTCACTCGGTCTTCGGAGGGGGGGTCTAGAGCAGAATCTAGAGGGACAGACGTCCTGCAGTGATGCAGCCTAGAGTGAGCAGCACTCAGAATTCTCCACGTGCGTCCAGTTACCTTCCTGAGTTGCCAGGTGCTGAGTTCCCCTGGCCACTGCCAGTCCCAAGCCAAGCCAGAAGTTTCTGGGCTTCTCTGCATGGCACAGCCTGGCTGGCCGACCCCTGACACCCCTGTGACATTGTCCCCGGTGCCCTGACTGCTCCCCAGGCTCCTGTTTCTTTTTCTCCCAACACTTTTCTAGCTACAGTTCAGGCTAGACTGACCTATGCCTACCCCCAAGCCCTGTTTCTGAAACCCTCCGTGGTCAGTTCTCATTGCCCTGTCTCCATTCTGGACCCCGCAGAGCCCGGGCTCATGGGCTGCAATGAAGTTCCGGCCCTGAGAATTCCTGTGTGTAAGTCCTTTTTCAGAAATGGGCCGCAAGGACAGACAGGCACCAAGACGGAGGGGAGGGGCAGGGCTACAGGTGGCCCCCACCTTCTGCCCCCAAGCCAGGGGCATTTCCCTAGTCTGCTCCTGAGTCTCCCCAGAATCCTTGCTGCTGTGAGAATTCCGGCCTTCCTGGCCTCATGACACCACCAAATGAAACAAGAAGTTCCAGAACTCGGGGTCCTGGGCCTGGGTTAGAGGCGGCTGAAGGGCACAGGGCCAGGGCCAAGGGCTCAGGCTGCACATAGGTTCAGATTCAGAGCCTGGCGGCTGTGGCTGGTGGGGGTGCCCAACGTGTGTCTCAACATGGGCCTGGAGCTCTATCTGGACCTGCTGTCAGCATCCTGCCGTGCTGTCTATATCTTCGCCAGGAAGAACAGCATCCCCTTTGACTTCCAGTTTGTGGATCTGTTAAAGGGTAGGCAACCCCTGCTGCTGGGCATAGGTCTGGTCCAGAGGGGAGGCCGGGCCCAAGGTCAGGGTGTCTCTAAACTGAGACACAGAGGAGACACCCCCCATCAAAGTCCACAGGGGAAGACACATTTCCCAAGGGAACTGTAGGCTGTCCATCCTTCCCACACATTCTACCCTGCTATCAGGTAAAGTGGAAGGCAGAGCTGCTGAGCGTCCCCCAGTCTCCCATCCAGTGCCCTTGGCTTTCCCTCGTGGGAGGGTAGCACTTGTTAGCTGCAGTACCTCTGATCAGTTGGCAAAGGCTGCAGACATGTGTGGTCATTTCACATCTGAGTGAAGACCCCTGCTTCAGTCCACACCCATCCTCCCCACCGTGTTCACACCTGCCCAGGGTGACACAGACCCAACACTATCCCAAGCATGGAAGGGATTCTTAAAAGCTCAGGTCGCAGAGGCAGAAGTCCCTAGAACATAGAGGAGGAGACCTGATGCTCTGAAATGAAGTGTGAGTCCAGCCCCAGAAATGTTTCCAGCCAGAGGCAGCTGGCTGTGGAAGGGTTAAGACTCCCAATAGATTGGGACACCTGGTTGGCTCAGTTGGTAGTGTGTGTGGACTTTTGATTTCCAGGTTGTGAGTTCAGGCTTATGTTGAGTGGAGAGCTTACTTTAAAAAAAAAAGAAAAAAAACTGAGTTCAAGTCCATGTTGAGCAGAGTTTACCTTTTTTTTTTTTTTAAGATTTTATTTATTTGAGAGAGAGCAAGCAAGCGAAAGAGCAAGAGGAAGGGGGAAGGGCAGAGGGAGAGGGAGAAGCAGATTCCCCGCTGAGCAGGGAGCCTGATGTGGGACTTGATCCCAGGACCCTGGGATCATGAGCCGAAAGCAGACGCTTAATTGACTGAGCCACCCAGGTGCCCCAAGCAGAGCTTACTTAAAAAAATAAAACAAAACAAAAAAATAAGTTTCCTCAAAAAGTTGAAAATAGAGCAACCCAGCAATTGCACTACTAGGTATTTACCCCAAAGATACAAATGTAGTGATTCAAAGGGGCACCTGCACCCCAATGTTTATAGCAGCAACATCCACAATAGCCAAACTATGGAAAGAACCCAGATGTCCATCAACAGATGAATGGATCAAGAAGATGGGGTATATGTGTGTGTGTGTGTGCACACACACACAATGGAATACTACTCAGCCATCACAACAATGACATCTTGCCATTTACAACGACGTGGCTGGAACTAGAGGGTATTATGCTAAACAAAATAAGTCAATCGGAGAAAGACAATTATATGATCTCACTCATATGTGGAATTTAAGAAACAAAATGGAGGATCATAGGGGAAGAGAGGGAAAAATAAAACCAGACGAAATCAGAGAGGAAGACAAACCATAAGAGATTCTTAATCATAGGAAACAAACTGAGGGTTGCTGGAGGGGAGGGGTAACTGGGTGATGGACACTGGGGAGGGCACGTGATGTAATGAGCCCTGGGTATTATAAAAGACTGATGAATCACTGATCTCTACCTCTGAAACTAATAATGCATCATATATTAATTAATTGAATTTAAATTAAAAACAATATTAAAAAAATAAAGTAATGACCTTGAAAAAAAAACACCAAAACACCACCACAAAACAAAATTCCCCGTAGATTGATTGCATATGAGAGGTTCCCTTTGAATTCCAGCTGTGTGCTGGGGCTCCTGGTGCCCTGCCCCTTTTAGAGGGGGCTATAAGGGGTGAGATCCAGGCTTCTAGGGCTTCTGCTGATTCATAGGCTGTGGCTTCAGGCCAGGAGTTCGGAGTGGGGGCTGGAGGCCTCCAACTTCTGTGAGCCAACAGATTGTCCTGGTCACCAAGCCTGGGATGGGGGCAGGAGTCTTGATCCTAATCCCTGTTCTGCCGCTGACTTGCCCTTTGACCTGAAGTGAGCCACGGTATTCCTCTGGGCTTGTTTCCTCTTCTAGCGAAAATGGGGAGGAAGGCATTCTGCATCTGGGAGACCTGGTTCTCTCTTCTCTGGAGTCCCGGCACCCTCAGACCTTTACCTTTCCTGCCCCCTCTCAGGTCACCACCACAGCAAGGAATACAGAGAGATCAACCCCCTGAAGAAGCTACCCAGCCTCAAAGATGGAAAATTTATCTTATCTGAAAGGTAAGTCTTCCTTGGGGCCCCCCCACCCCACCATCTGTCTCTGTTCCTCCCGGGAGATCCACGTGGAGCCGACTGCTAGTGCTTATTTTTTATTTACTGTGATCAATTTTATATGTACACCAAAGTAGAATGAATACTAACTAATGAGGAGTATAGCGACCTTCACATGGTACCCCTCACTCCATTCCAACAGTGATCCGCTTGGGGAGCCCATGTTTTCATCACCTGTAAACCCACTTCTATTCCCCTGCTTGCCAGCCACCCTATCATTTCACCCATAAATGTTTAGGAATATACTTTTAAGAGATAAGGGCTCTCTAAAAAAAAAAAAAAAAGCATCAGGGGCGTCTGGGTGGCTCAGTTAAGCGTCTGCCTCTTGATTTCGACTCAGGTCATGACCTCAAGGTTGTGAGATCGAGCCCAGTGGGCTCTGCGCCAGGCGTTGAGCCTGCTTGGGATTTTCTCTCCCTCTCCCTCTGCCCACCCCCACAACTCACATGCGCTCTCTCTCTCTCTCAAATAAATCTTTTTTTTTTAAAGATTTTATTTATTTATTTGACAGAGAGAGACACGGTGAGAGAGGGAACACAAGCAGGGGGAGTGGGAGAGGGAGAAGCAGGCTTCCCGCGGAGCAGGGAGCCCGATGCGGGGCTCGATCCCAGGACCCTGGGACCATGACCCGAGCCGGAGGCAGACACTTAACAACTGAGCCACCCAGGCGCCCCTCAAATAAATCTTAAAAAAAAAAAAAAGCATCAATACCATGATGACACCTTGTAAAATTAACAATAATTCCTGGATTTCAACTAATATCCTATTTGTATTCAAAAGTCTCTGTTTATCTCACAAACAGTTTCTTTGTAGCTTGTGCATTTGAATACGGTTCCAAATAAACTTCCAAGTATTACAGCTGGTGATCTGCCTCCTGAGTCCCTTTTCATCTACAGCCCCCTCGATGACTCACTTTTTTTGCCTTTGCATTTTTTTTTTTAAGGTTTATTTATTTGAGAGAGAGAGAGCGCAAGCAGGATGGAGGCAGAGGGAGAAGCGGACTTCCCCCTGAGCATGGAGCCTGACTCGGGTTTCAATCCCAGGACCCCGGGATCACGACCTGAGCCAAAGGCAGGCACTTAACCTGCTGAGCCACCCAGGCACCCCTGCCTTTGCATTTTTTAAAAGTAGTCTCCACACCCAATTTGGGGTCCTGAGTAGGACTCTGAGATCGAGAGGCCTGAGCTCCGCCCACTGAGCCCGTCAGGTGCCCCTTGCCTCTGAGTTTTTGTTGTGGTTGAAGAAACCGAGTACTTTGTCCTGTGGAGTTTCCCACAGTCTGAGTTTTGCTGATCACATTCTCAGGGTGTCATATTTACACAGTCTTTCTGTCCTTTCATTTCCTGTGAACTGGTCACTGGAAGTAGAAGTTTGGTAAGATTTGGGGTAGACTGTTTTTCAGGCTGCCTCCGAGGCAGTGTCTTAAAGTACATCTTCCAAGTGGACCACAGGACTTCAGGGGGCCCAGGGCCTGGATTATTTTCCTAGGGTTGCTGTCGCAAATTACTGCTGACTGAATGACTTGGAACAATAGAAATGTATTGTCTTACAGTTCTGGAGGTTAGAAGTGAAAATCGAGGCGTCGGTAGGGCCCTGCTCCCTCTGAAGCCGGGGAAGCTTTGTTGCAGGCCTCTGTCTTAGGTTCTGACAGCCTCATGCATTCCTTGGCTGGGAGATGGCCATCTTGCCTTCCGTCTGTGCATGTCTCTGTGTCCAAATGTCACCATTTCATAAGAACACGAGTCATAATGGATTAGAGTCTACTCTAAGAACTCACTTTATTTTTACTTTTATATTTTTAAGTAATCTCTACACCCAGTGTGGGGCCTGAACTCACAATCCTGAGGTCAAGAGTCACATGCTCTTCCGACTGAGCTAGCCAGGCCCCCCTCTAAGACCTCATTTTAACTTGATTACCTCTGTAAAGACCCAATTTCCAAATCAGGCTACATTCTGAGGTACTGGGCATTAGGATTTCAACACATCTTTGGGGGACACAATTCAACCCATAACAGTCTGTCCCCTGGGCCCCCCAAATTCATGTCCTTCCCGTGTGCAAAATATATTCACCTCATCCCAACATCTCCAAAAGTCTTAATCACTCTGGCATCAACTCTTAGCCCCAAATGCCAGTGTCTACATTATCCAAATCAGGTATGGGTGAGATTCATGGTATGATTCATCCTGGGGCAAAGTTCCGCTCTCTCTGTGAACCTGGGAAACCAGATGACAAGTTGTCCTGCTTCTAAAATACAACGGGGAGGGCGCCTGGGTGGCTCAGTGGTTAAGCGACTGCCTTCGGCTCAGGTCATGATCCTGGAGTCCCTGGATCGAGTCCCGCATCAGGCTCCCTGCTCGGCAGAGAGTCTGCTTCTCCCTCTGACCCTCCCCCCTCTCATGTACTCTCTCTCCCTCTCTCATTCTCTCTGTCTCAAATAAATAAATAAATAAATAAAATCTAAAATACAATGGGGAGGGGCGCCCGGCTGCCTCAGTTGTTGGAGCATGTGACTCTTGATCTCAGGGTCTTGAGTTCAAGCCCCACATTAGGTGTCGTAGACATTACTTAAAAATAATAATAATAAAAATACAATGGGGCGACACGCACGGGATGGATAGTCCCATTCCCAAACAGAGACATAGGAAGGGAAAAAAAAAAAAATCTCATGCATCCCAACCAAGTCTGAAACCTAGCCGGGTAAATCGCTTTATATTTTAAGGCTTGAGAATCATCCTTGTTGGCTCCATGCTGTGTCCCTTGGGCCTGTTAGGGTGGTGGCCCCACCCTCTGGAACCAGGGAGACCGAGGCTCGGCCCCCACCTGCGCCGCCCCGCTCCGGGCCTGCTGGTGGCTGGACGGCCCTACTGACTCTAGTGAGACCGTCATCTCCCTACCCCCTCCAGCTAGGGGAATCTGGGCCGAGCTCAGATGGGCAGAGTCTCCCCTGCCCATCTCTGTGTCCAACTGTCTGGTGAAGGATCAGCCCCTCCTTCTCAGGGTATCTGATGTTCCAAGGGAAGGACATGCATAGGCATAGTCTGAGCCGCCCTCTTGCCTGTGGACCACTCACTGGCTGTGGCACTGGGACCCCTGACTACCAGCAACAGTCCCCCCACCCCGAATCACTGGATTAAAGATGAAAGAGCAGGTCCCTGTGAGAAGAGGCAGTGAGAGGGTGCTAGGCAGACAGAAGGCCAGGTGCCCACTCCAGGGTCAGACCAGGAACTGTGATGCCAGCCGGGTGTCTGCCCCCCAAGAAATGGGGCACCTCCAGGCACAGTGAGCTCTGGCCCGCTACGGTGGCAAGAAGAGTTCAAGAATATGCTGGTGGGCCCCACTTGGCCTGGGCGCTCCCGGTGTGGGAGCCAGGAGGGCTGATGCCGAGAATGAGCATTGGGGGCCCCAGCCTCAAGGTGCAGGACAGAGACACAGAGTGTGGCAGTGGGGGCTGGGGGTTGGTTAGAGGGGCACAGGCTACAGACAGCCTGGGAGGAGCCAGTCGGGACTGGGGGCCACCGACAGGTCTGCCCAGAACAGTCATGATCCAGGATTGGCCACCAGGGGTGTGTTCCCAGAGGTCACAAAATGGGGAGGGGCATTGGGCCAGTGAGGCAAACCTCTGCCTGCCCCTCAGGTTTTTCGTGGAGGCTAGAGACCACCCTCTCATCTCTGCTGCCCATTCACTGTCCTCCCCACCTGACTCTATCCATTCCCTTCACCCCACTCGTCGGCCTGGCCAAGGTCACATACTATGCCAGGTGGTCAAGAACAGTGGCAGGGCTTGGGCTTAGGCTCAGGCTCAGGCTCAGGCATGGGGCCTGGCTGCTGGGATCAAACCCCGATCCTGTCACTCATGGGCTGTGTGTCTTTGGCAAGTTAGTTGTATCTCGGAGCCTCAGTTTCCTCAAATGGAAGCATACTGGTACACACCTTACAGGGTTATTGTGAGATCAGCTGAGATGATTTAGGATTTAGGATTTCCATCCCTGATGTTTTCCCCCTTCTTATATAGAGTGGGGCCTCTGGGGACTCCCCCTCCCTCCTCCCTCCCAGGCTGCTCCTTCCTGTCCCCCCCCATCTCTGCTCCCTCCTCATCTGCTGACTCTGCACGGACAGTGTTGGTTGGGGAGGGGGAGCAGGGTGGGGCGGGCAGGCACCTGCTCCTTGGACTTTGATGTCATATCAGACTCCAGCTCAGGACTCTCCAGGGCCCCAGATGTCCGAGACACCTCAAACGCCTGTGTCCAACCTGCATTCCTCCCTTCCTGCCCCCCGCCAGCCAAGAGCAAGACCTTCCCCTCCAAATAGTGCCTCCAGTCTGTACCCTCCCCATACCTCCTTGGCCTCTGCCCTCCTCAGAACCCCTCCACCCAGTACCAGAGGGATCTTTCTTTCTTTCTTTTGAGGTGTAATCACCATACAGCATTATATTAGTTTCAGGTGTACAACATCATGACTCAATTTATGTATATATTGTGAAATGATCACCACGGTAAGTTGTAGTTGATGTCCATCACCACATAGAGTTGTAGATTTTTTTCCCTTACAGTAAGAACTTTTAAGATCTACTCTCTTCGCAACTTTCAAGTATACAGTACAGTCTTATTAACTTTGGTCACAATTACATCCCCGTGACTTATTTTATAGCTGCAAGTCTGAAACTTTTGACTCCCTTCATCCATTTCACCCCCTCCCCCCGCCTCCTGCAACCACCAATGTGTTCTCTGTATTTATGGTTTTGTTTTTGTTTGTTTGTTTGTATTTAGATTCCACATATAAATGAGATCACACTGTATTTTTCTCTGTGTGATTTCACTTAGCATAACCCCTCAAGGTCCATCCATGTTGTCACAAATGGCAGGATTTCCTTCTTTTCTATGGGTGAATAAATCCCATTGTATATTTACACCACATGTTCTTTATGCATTCATTCATCGATGGACACTTAAGCTGTTTTCATGCCTTGGCTCTTCTAAATAATGCTGCAGTGAACATGGGGGTGCAGATATCTTTTTGTTACAGTGTTTCTGTTTCCTTCAGATAAATATCCAGAAACGGAAGTGCTGGGTACTGTAGTAATTCTTTTTTTTTTTCCCAAAGATTTTATTTATTTATTTGACAGAGAGAATGAGATAGAGAGAGAGCATGAGGGGAGCAGGTTCAGGGGGAGAAGCAGACTCCCCGCTGAGCGGGGAGCCTGATGCGGCACTCGATCCCGGGACTCCAGGATCATGACCTGAACCGAAGGCAGTCACTCAACCAACTGAGCCACCCAGGCGTCCGGTACTGTGGTAATTCTATTTAGGAACCTCCATATTGTTTTCCACAGTGGCCGCGCCAGTTTGCATTCCCACCAACAGTGCAGAAGGGTTCCCTTCTCTACACATCCTTGCCAACATTTGTTATTTCTTGTCCTTTTGATGACAGCCATATCATGGGCGTGAGGTGATATCTCATTGTGGTTTTTGTCTTGCATTTCCCTGCTGATGAGTGATGTTGAGCATCTTTTCATGCGTTCATTGGCCATGTGGAGGTCTTCTCTGGAAAAATGTCTCCTCAGGTTCTTTGCCCATTTTTGGTTGGATTATTTGTTTTCTTGCTATTGAGTTGTAGGACAGAGGGATGTTTCTAAAAATCAAGGTGGATTTTCTCATCCTCTTGCTTATGTAACCATAACTTTGAGGATTAAGTCCATATCCTCCTGCATCTCCGGGGGCATCCCTGGGTGCCTCTACAGTATCTCTGGCTGTCTCTGACCATTCTCCCCACCCTTCTTCTGGTCACACTTTTTTCTTTTCTCCAAATTGCTACCTCTTACTACCCCTGAATCACAGTACGTGTTGTTCCCCACCGAGACTGCCTTCCTGATGCCATCCACCAACTCCCATCTTGCACTCCCATGCTGGCCTCCCTCTTGCACTCACTGACCAGCGGACTGACTGCCTTTCTTGGCACCCTTTGGGCTCGTCTTTCCCCTAGAAGAATGTCAGTGCCTAGAGCCCACGTCCGGCTGGAGGTCCTGCATTGGACCCAGGCCATGCTGGGGTGGTGGGTGTAACAGGATCGGGGAGGGAGAGGGCAGCGTCCCTGGCTTTCCCTTTCTACAGTGTGGCCATCCTTTTCTACCTGTGCCGCAAGTACAGCACACCTTCGCACTGGTACCCACCAGACCTGCACACACGTGCCCGCGTGGATGAGTTCATGGCCTGGCAGCACACTGCCATTCAGCTGCCCATGAACAAGATCCTCTGGATCAAGGTGAGTGGGACCAAAGCTATGGCTGACCACTGGTGAGTTCAAGCAAGTCTCCCTCCCTTCCTGAGCCTCATTTCCTTGGCTCCCTCCCCTGCCTGCCTTACAGAGCTGATGGGAGTGTGGAATGAACCACTGGGTATGAAAAAGCCTTGTAAAAACAAGGGGAAGGGCACCCAGAAGGAGTTGATAGTACTCAAGCTGGGATAGGAGTCAAGAAATTTCATTCTGAATTAGAAAACATCAGTCAAAGGGCCCATAGAGACCACCAATTTTGAAGATGACCAGTAGCCCGTATATATACCCTTACTTCTTATCTCATGCCTGTGACAGACATCACTAACCAATCACAGGATTACTTCCTGCTGGGATCTCAAAATCCCCCTGAACAATGGCCGTAGGTGATCTCTATCAAGCGGAACCGCTAAAAGAGTTGAACTTACTTTATTTCCTTGGTTCTGTCCAACACCTCTCCAGCAGACAAGGAGGCTGAAGACGGGAGGGTCAGATGGGACTAGAGTGCAGCCTTCTCTTCCCTCCCCTTCCCCACCCCGGCCAGTTGCTGATCCCAATGATCACAGGTGAGGAGGTTCCAGCTGAGAAGACAGAGCAGATGCTGGTAGAGGCGAAGAACAACATGCAGCTCTTTGAGGAGAAGTTTCTGCAGGACAAGATGTTCATCACGGGGGACCACATCTCACTGGCCGACCTGGTGGCCCTGGTGGAGATGATGCAGGTGTGGAGTCGGGGGGGGGGCGCACAGAACCTGGGCACAGGTGAGACTCCTCTGTGACCACTGGGGCCATAGCTTGAGGATAGGCTGGTAAAGGAGGAGACATGGAGGACTGTGGGAGCCGGGGATGGGGTGCCTGGACCCCACCCAGGGGTAACAAGAAGCACAGATTTTGAACCAAGGAGGATCACGATTATCCATGCTTCACAATGATTTTTCAGCACGGGGAGGGGCTGGAGGGCAGGCCTGGGACAGGGAGAAGAACATAATATTTGTCAGTGAGTCCACCAGGATCCTGGATGCCTCCTCTTCCCGTTGGACTCTCCAGGAATTATACAGAGGCCTCCAAAGTGTCCTTCGGCTGAGTGCTTCTTTTCTAGAGCTCCAGACTTATAGCTATACAAAGTAGCTCCCATGGCTCCAGATCTGAGGGGCAACCACTGTGCGTTTGGGAGGCATACCTGGGTGTGGGGCATTTATGTGGTTTCTACATGAGGGGAGGGTGGCCACTTCTGACCTAGCTGGTGTGCAGGATGGCCAGTTTAGACCCTGGCCAATGTCTTGAAAGACCAACATAATTTCTGGCCAGTATGCAAAGCGTCCACTTTAGTCCCTGGTCAGGGTGAAGGGCAGACCATCACCAGGAAAAACCACTTCAGTTTTTCTGCCCCAGGTGGTGTAGTCCCCTACATTTCACACCCTACCCCTTACATTTCACCCACACCCACCCCCTTATGGGGCCCCAAGCTTCTTGGGTGCATGTTTCTTAGACTACCTGCTGGGTCTCCCATTCCGGGCGCTGTGCCTGATCACAGAGGAAGGCTCAATGTAGAGAAAAAAGAACTGAATTCTTCCCCACCCTCATCTGAGGACAAGGGATTTCCTGGTAGAAGGCAGGACTCATGGAAAGTTTCATGCTGGAGAAGTGGGAGCCATCTGGGTCAGGTCTTACCTTAGAGAGGGATTCCGGAGCCTTGGAGCAAGACCAGTGGCCAAGAACCCTGGAGATTCTGATCGATCTTCCAATGCTCCCCCCACGTCTATCACATAGCCTCTGACCTCTTGCCCAGGCCTGGGGGTGGGGTGGGTCATAGACTCACTCTTTGTGGGAGGCAGATGGGGAGAGCCCCTGAGGCTGTAGGAGGGGACTCAGGTGAGGCTGGTTCCCCCCCTCCTGGCTGACCACTCCTTCCTCTTTGTCTATCTACAGCCCATGGGAAGCAAGTATAACGTCTTCGTCAATAGCTCCAAGATAGCTGAGTGGCGCATGAGGGTGGAGCTGGCTATTGGCTCTGGCCTCTTCTGGGAGGCCCATGACCGGCTGATGAACTTGGCAGAGTGGGACTGTTCAACATTGGATCCAATGGTCAAGGAGAAGATCTGCGAGTTGCTGCAGAAGTTCAAGTAGAAGCAGCCCATCCTGCAAGGCCTGGCTGGCTCAACCTTTTTGAGCTTCCTTCCTTAGAGGAGATGTTGAAAACAACTCCAGTTCTTTGCTTAATAAAGTACTAAACAACCACCAAGGCTGCTGAGCCCGGGCCAGGTGTGAGCATAGGGTATGCATGGTGTGGGAGAGGGTAGTGGTCATGGGTCTTCCCAGGTTCCAAAAAGAGTTTAAAAACTAAAAGTTAAATATGATTAAGGGTGCCCTCCTGGCTCAGTTGGTAGAGCATGCAACTCTCGATCTCAGGGTCGTGAGTTTGAGCCCCAATTGGGCATAAAGCTTCCTTAAAAAAAATCAACTGGGGGCGCTTTGGTGGCTCAGTCAGTTAAGCATCTCACTCTTGATTTTGGCTCAGGTCATGATCTCAGGGTTGCAAGACTGAGCCCTGCATCAGGCTCCATGCTCAGTGCAGAGTCTGCTTGAGATTCCCTCCCTCCCCCTCTGCCTCTCCTTCCACTCATGTGAGTTTGCATTCGCACACTTTCTCTCTCAAATAAATAAATATATAAAAGTAAAAAAAAAGTCAACTGGATTTAATACAACTTAAAAAATAAATATGATTAAATTATCAACAATAATAGTTGATGAATTCAATACTCCATTCTCAATAATGGATGAAACAAGACAGAAGACTGTCAAGGAAATAGAAGACTTGAACTATGCTGTAAACCAATGGACCTACTGGATATAAACACAGAACACTCGACCCAATGACCAGAGAATACACATTCTTTTTTTTTCTTTTAAAGTTTATTTTTTTTTAGTAATCTCTACATCCAACGTGGAGCTCAAACTCACAACCCTAAGATCAAGAGTTGCATGCTCTTCCGACTGAACCAGCCAGGCACCCCGGAATACACATTCTTCTCAAGTGCACATGCAATATTCTCCAGGATAGATCTTATGTCAGGTCACAAAATAAATCTCAATGAATTTAAACAGATTGAAGTCATATCATGTATGTTCTTGGAACATAATGGAGTGAAATTAGAAAATAACAGAAGGAAAACTAGAAAGTTCACAAATATCTGGAAATTAAACAGTATGTTCTTAAACAACTACAGGGAAGTTAGAAAATACCTCTGACACATGAAAACAAAAACACAGGGGTGCTTGGGTGGCTCAGTCAGTTAAGTGTCTGCCTTCAGCTCAGGTCATGATCCCAGGGTCCTGGGATCGAACCCACAGGGAGCTCCCTGCTCAGCAGGAGCCTGCTTCTTCTCCCTCTGCCCCCCCTTACCCTTTCATGCTCTCTCTCTCTGCCCTTCCCCCCTCTTGTGCCCTCTTGCTCCCTCATGCTCTCAAATAAATAAAATCTT